CTCTCACATTTTTCTAGTGCTTTCTTAATAATAATAATCATAATCATAATAGTAATAGTAATAATAATCTTTATTTATACCCCGCCACCATCTCCCCGATGGGGACTCGGAGCGGCTTACATGAGGCCAAGCACAAACAACAAATTACAACAGAGTAACACCGAAAACGCAAACCAAAAACGCGAAAAATAAACAACAACTATAGCTGTTGCATAATTGTGTTGCTTCTTCCAATCTGCAACACTTTTATGTGTTGAAACTTTTTTTTAGAAAGAAACAACATTTTATTATGGTCCAAAGACTCTTTTTCTTCATAGGTTTACAAGGTCTGATTCCTCACATAGCTCAGGATAAGTGCTTCAACAGCTAGTGTGTAAAATCAGTTCTAAGAAAGCACTGGGACCGTGGCGCAGCTGGCTGGGAGTCAGCAGCATTAAGATCACTACTGACCAAAAGGTCACGAATTGGAAGCCAGCCCGGGTCGGAGTGAGCTTCCGACCAATTTTTGTAGCTTGCTGTCGACCTTTGCAGCCCGAAAGACAGTTGCATCTCTCAAGTAGGAAATTTAGGCGTTTATGCGGGGAGGCTAATTTATGACATAAAAATCTCCAGAAAGCATGCAAAGAATGAGGAAGTACTTCATCAGTGTCACAAATGGACAGTGAAGCAACAGCTCCCCTGGTGGCCAGAATACTGTCATGAAAAAGCTGGAATGTTAAATAGCCTCTGTGTGTCTATATATGTTGAGTGTCTGTGGCATTGAATATTTGCCATGTATAAGTTCTGAAAGTGCCTTGGACTGCGAGAAGATCCAACCAGTCCATCCTCCAGGAAATAAAGCCCGACTGCTCACTGGAGAGAAAGATACTAGAGACAAAGTTGAAGTACTTTGGCCACATCATGAGGAGACAGGAAAGCCTAGAGAAGACAATTATGCTGGGGAAAGTGGAAGGCAAAAGGAAGAGGGGCCGACCAAGGGCAAGATGGATGGATGGCATCCTTGAAGTGACTGAACTGACCTTGAGGGAGCTGGGGGTGGTAACGGCCGACAGGGAGCTCTGGCGTGGGCTGGTCCATGAGGTCACGAAGAGTCGGAGACGACTGAACGAATGAACAACAAAATATGTACATTATAATCCACCCTGAGTCTCCTGCGGGGTGAAAATAATACATAAATAAGAAAATAAATAAGAAAGCCTTTTCCATTGTCCTTTCCGCATCCCTCTTAACTCATATGGGCTTTGAAATGGTTTTCAGATTAATCAAACAGAAACTGTGGGACATTGCTTTTTGTGAGCTACGTTCTCATTCATATGTATCTTGCTCCCCAAGTGCTCTCTCCATACCCTATATTGGGCCTTTCCACGCAGCAAACTATTTAAAGAACTTGACTGTGGCCAAATACCGATGTCTATTTTCCAATGCAACATATAATGTGCTCCCATCTGAACTGCTGTGTGGGAGATTCTTGGGTATTCCATATAAAGAAAGACTCTGCCCATGTAACAAACAGAAAGTTGAAACTATTTAGTATGTTACAATCTTGTTTCCACCATCAGTTTTATTCAATAAAATAAGAAGCAGAATCTTACGATTACATTTATTTTTATTTATTTATTTGCAGTATTTATATTCCGCCCTTCTCACCCAGGGCAGATTACAATGTACATATACATGGCAAACATTCAATACCATAGACACACAACATATATAGACAGACACATAGAGGCTATTTAACTTTCTAGCTTTCATGAGGGTATTCTGGCTACCAGGGGAGCTGTTGCTTCACCGTCCATTTGTGACACCGATGAAGTACTTCCTCATTCTTTGCAGGATTGCTGGAAATTTTTTTGATAAATATTTATTGAGTTTTATAATTTATAACTGACATAACAAAACTGACAGACATAACAAACAACAAATAACAAATAACATCTACAAAACTAACGTACCGATCACCGTATAACAATAACATACAAAACATCTAGTATGACATTTTCCCTCTAACTTCCAGATACCTCAAGTGAGCCTTTGTCTTCTTTCTTTTACAATTTAGTGTTAGAATAGAGGTTATCCTGTAACCTACCCTATCTTTGCCTGGAGTGCCCTTCTTTTATTCCTATTTTAAGATATTTTTATTTGTTCTTTTCCAGAAAATTGGTAAATTTCTTCCAGTTCGTCTTGTTGGATATTGATCTATTTTGGGATACTTTCTGGGTTAGCAGATCCATATTCATTACGTCCATGGTTTTCTCAATCCAGGAGTTGATCGTTGGTGTCTCCTTACTTTTCCATTGACGCGCTATACTTGGTGGAGATTTTTATGGCATTGTAAATTAGTTAAATTAGCCTCCCCTAAATTTCCTACTTGAGAGATGCAACTATCTTTCGGGCTGCAAAGGTTGACAGCAAGCTACACAAATTGGTCGGAAGCTCACTCCGGCTGGCTTCGAACTCATGACCTTTTGGTCAGTAGTGATCTTAATGCAGCTGACTCCCAGCCAGCTGCGCCACAGTCCTGGTGCATCTTTCATTTCTTTCACATCTCCCCCCACCCGCAAAGTATACAACATTTCATATACCAAATTTATGATCGTAAATAGAGCAGTACAGTGGAGCAGTGGTAAATTTTCAAAAGCAGGTCCTCATCATCACCGATCTCAGCAAGGATCACTATTAGCAAACAGTAGATCTTTTGTAAATTCAAGGTGTTTTAATTATCCACTAAACACCTGCCCCTCCATCTCTTTTGTATTGTTTCTATGCAAATCCAGCATTCCCGACCATCCATTGCTCCAATAGTGAAATCCCACTGAAACTCAGAGGGAATAGGGAAGGCTGAGAAGGACTTCATGACTGCTACTAATCAAAATATCCCAATACTTTTGTTGTTCATTCGTTCAGTCGTCTCCGACTCTTCGTGACCTCATGGACCAGCCCACGCCAGAGCTCCCTGTCGGCCGTTACCACCCCCAGCTCCCTCAAGGTCAGTCCATTCACTTCAAGGATGCCATCCATCCATCTTGCCCTTGGTCGGCCCCTCTTCCTTTTGCCTTCCACTTTCCCCAGCATAATTGTCTTCTCTAGGCTTTCCTGTCTCCTCATGATGTGGCCAAAGTACTTCAACTTTGTCTCTAGTATCTTTCCCTCCAGTGAGCTGTCGGGTTTTATTTCCTGGAGGATGGACTGGTTGGATCTTCTCGCAGTCCAAGGCACTCTCAGAACTTTCCTCCAACACCACAGCTCAAAAGCATCGATCTTCCTTCGCTCAGCCTTCCCTAAGGTCCAGCTCTCACATCCGTAGGTTACTACAGGGAATACCATGGCTTTGACTAGGCGGATCTTTGTTGCCAGTCTGATGTCTCTACTCTTTACTATTTTATCGAGATTGGACATTGCTCTCCTCCCAAGAAGTAAGCGTCTTCTGATTTCCTGGCTACAGTCTGCATCTGCAGTAATCTTTGCACCTAGAAATACAAAGTCTGTCCCGGCCTCCACGGTTTCTCCCTCTATTTTCCAGTTGTCAATCATTCTTGTTGCCATAATCTTGGTTTTTTTTACGTTTAGCTGCAACCCAGCTTTTGCACTTTCTTCTTTCACCTTGATTAGAAGGCTCCTCAGCTCCTCCTCGCTTTCGGCCATCAAAGTGGTGTCATCTGCATATCTGAGGTTGTTAATGTTTCTTCCAGCAATTTTCACCCCAGCTTTGCATTCATCAAGCCCCGCACATCGCATGATGTGTTCTGCGTACAAGTTAAAAAGGTTGGGTGAGAGTATGCAGCCTTGCCGTACGCCTTTCCCAATCTTGAACCAGTCTGTTGTTCCATGGTCAGTTCTGACTGTTGCTACTTGGTCCTTGTACAGATTCCTCAGGAGAGAGACAAGGTGGCTTGGGATGCCCATCCCACCAAGAACTTGCCACAATTTATTATGATCCACACAGTCAAAGGCTTTAGAATAGTCAATGAAGCAGAAGTAGATGTTTTTCTGAAACTCCCTGCCTTTCTCCATTATCCAGCATCCGGATATTGGCAATCTGGTCTCTCGTTCCTCTGCCTTTTCTAAACCCAGCTTGAACATCTGGCCACTCTCGCTCCATGTATTGCTGGAGTCTTCCTTGCAGGATCTTGAGCATTACCTTACTGGCATGAGAAATAAGGGCCACTGTACGGAAGTTTGAGCAGTCTTTCGCATTTCCCTTAACCCCTCATTCTATACTATCACTGGTCATAAAATATTTTTGGTATAATCATTTATGAAACGTGTACTTTTCTTGGTGGTTGTTGCTATTACCAGGCATGCTATGTGCAACTCTAGCCCTACATTGTACACTCTCTTTCCTGCACAGGTTAGCAAGTGTTGTCTATGCTTAACACTGAATACCCCTTTTTCTAAATGTTTGGGGCCAGAAGTGTTTTGGATTTGGGACTTTTTTCAGAATATCTTTATTTGCCTATCCAAGTTTTTGCATTGTGCAATATCCTGGAGAGGAGACCCAAGCCTAAATGGAAAATTAATTCATGCCTCATATATAGCTTCGATTTGTAGCCTGAAGGTAATTCTGAACAATACTTTAAAACAACGTTGTACATGAAAACACATTTGTGTACACTGAATCATCATAAAGGAATTGTATCACTATGCCTGGATCTACACCGCCCTATATCCCAGAATCTGATCCCAGATTATCTGCTTTGAACTGGATTATAGGAGTTTACACTGCCAGATAATCTGGGATAAACAGATAATCTGGGATCAGAACATGGGATGTAGGGCAGTGTAGATCCAGCCTATCTCAGGCAAGTTTGGATTTTGGAATATTTTGGATAAGCAGTGCTCAATGTGCAAAATGTGATGTTCCTTAAATAGTAGTAAAGCCTCGGCATATATATGGAAGCTCTACCTTTGTAGGGTTTTCAGATCAATGTGAATAATGTAGCCATGGAGTTATATAGTGTCACACTCAAGTTTTCTCTCTTTCTCTCTCATTTTCCTCACAGTTCTTTTCCATCTTTGCATTTGCAACATGTGGCAGCTACACCGGAGAATTTTGCCTGAGTGTCGAATGCCCCAACAAGAATGAGAGTGATCTCAGTATAGAGGTGGAGTTTGCATATCCCTTCCGGTGAGTTGAACCCACAACTGTGGTTACTCCATTGAGTAAAGTGAGCCAAGAAACTAATGTTGGGCAGAGAGTGTCCAAATTGCTGTCTCTTGACAAAAACAGGAGCAATTGAAAATCCCAAAAGACCAAACAGGTTTTGTGTGTGTGTGTGTCAGGAGCGACTTGAGAAACTGCAAGTTGCTTCTGGTGCGAGAGAATTGCCGGTCTGCTAGGACATTGCCCAGGGGATGCCCGGATATTGCTGATATTTTACCATCCTTGTGGAAGGCTTTTCTCATGTCCCCGCACAGGGAGCTGGAACTGACAGAGGGAGCTCATCCATGCTCTCCCTGGATTCAAACCTCCAACCTGTCGATCATCAGTCCTGCGGGCACAAGGGTTTAACCCATTGCACCACCAGGAGCCCCTTAGACCAAACAGTTTGGTCGTGTCAGGAGCTGTCACTTTCATCGTCCATCTGCGACACTGATGAAGTACTTCTGCATTCCCCACATGCTTTGCTGGAGTGCTTTTTGTGGAGTCTTTTTTATGGCCTCATAAATTAGTTAAATTAGCCTCCTCACACATAGGTGGGACCTAATTTTCCTACTTGACAGATGCAACTGTCTTTTGGGTTGCAAAGGTCGACAACAAGCTACACAAAATTGGCCGGAAGCTCACTCCAACCCGGGCTGGCTTTGAAATCATGACCTGGTCAGAGTGATCTTAATGCAGCTGACACTCAGCCAGCTGCGCCACAATCCCTGTGCTCTGAGATTTAATTATGTTGTACTTTGTATTTTAATTAAGTTGGATAATAAATTATTATTAACATTGACTTCCTCATAATCATTATTTTTACTGATTGAACCTAGGGCCCTTCTACGCAGCCCTTTATCTGAGTGTGGACTCAACCCAGTTCAAAGCAGATATTGTGGGATTTTCTGCCTTGATATTCTGGGATATAGGGCTGTGTGGAAGGTCCCCTAGTTTTTACTAAAATAAGTTTCATAATCGTCTTGCTTGTCTTCTGATAGCAATACAGAAAAATACTGCAAAATTGAGCTTTTATTTGCAAGATAATTGCCTTGGTGCAGATTTAAAGTAAAAACAATTTAAGGGTACATACAGTGATGGCATGGTGGATCCCCTTCTTCTGTGTCCTACTTTCTCTTGTTTTCTTCTTCCAGGCTCCACCAGGTGTATTTCGATGCCCCGGCTTGTAAAGGGACTGAGCAGGAGAAGGTTTTCTTGATCGGAGACTATTCCTCCTCCGCTGAGTTTTTCGTCACCATCGCAGTCTTTGCCTTCCTGTACTCCTTAGCTGCCGTTGTCGTCTACATCTTCATGCAGGACAAGTACAGGGAGAACAACAAAGGCCCCATGATTGTGAGTCTGGTGCAAAACAAGCAGGGCGAGATACAGACCATTTAAGCACTACAGTATGTTAAATAAGCATCAGCATATGACCTGCCAGGCAGCTTTATGATGTCTCTCATAATTATACTCAGCAGAAGTAGAGCAATGGAAGGATGAATGGAGAGATCACACTGAAAGTTCATACCTTCTGATTGTCTCCCCAAAAGGAGATGTCTGGATTAGTGTCCGTACATGAAGAGTTTCCAGGAAAGAAAGAAAAAGTACCAATGGGAATGTGGCACACTGGATCATAAGTTGAGCATGAATTCTGAGGCTTGTAGTTTGCCCAGGACCTGTCTGTCTGAGCAATTTAAAGTCTCCTTCCTAAACTACAAGCCCCAGAAATTTGCAGGAGGCAGAAACTGTATTTAAAGTTAATCCATGCTCTTAGTGCAATATTTCTCAACCTGGGGTCGGGACCCCTGTGGGGGTCGCGAGAGGGTGTCAGAGGGGTCGCCAAAGACCATCTGAAAACATAGTATTTTCTGTTGGTCGCAGGGGTTCTGTGTGGGAAGTTTGGCCCATTTCTATCTTTGGTGGGGTTTGTAGGTGAACTATAAATCCCAGCAACTACAACTCCCAAATGTCAAGGTCTATTTTCCCCAAGCTCCACCAGTGTTCACATTTGGGCATTTTAAGTATTCGTGCCAAGTTTGCTCCAGATCTATCATTGTTTGAATCCACAGTGCTCTGGATGTAGGTGAACCACAACTCCCAAATTCAAGGTCAATGCCCACCAACCTTCCAGTATTTTATGTTGGTTGTGGGAGTACTGTGTGTCAAGTTTGGTTCAATTCTATCATTGGTGGAGTTCAGAGTGCTCTTTGATTGTAGGTTAACTATAAATCCCAGCAACTACAACTCCCAAATGACAAAATCAATCCCCCAACCCCACCAGTATTTAAATTTGGGCATATTGGGTATTTGTGCCCAATTTGGTCCAGTGAATGAAAATATATCCTGCATATCAGATATTTACATGATGATTCATAACAGTAGCAAAATTACAGTTATGAAGTAGCAATGAAAATAGTGTTATGGTTGGGTCACCACAACATGAAGAACTGTATCAAGGGGTTGCGGCATTAGGAAGGTTGAGAAACATTGCTCTACTGTGATGAGGTCCTAACTGAAAGAACAAGGTTCAATAGAAACCTATTGTAGTAGATGTCCTGTCTTGCAATCTGCCTGAGCCTTCAAAAACACTAAGATCATCATGTGTTTACAGATGAGGCAAAATATGAACCATGCCTCACAATCTTAGCATTTTCATGATCGGATTGTTGTAGGTTTCTTTCCGAGCTATATGGCCATGTTCTAAAGGCATTCTCTCCTGACGTTTCGCCTGCATCTATGCCTAGCATCCTCAGAGGTAGTGAGGATGCTTGCCATAGATGCAGGTTTATTTATCGTGTCATCAGCAACCATACCATTGTATTATATTTCTAACAGAACAAAACAAACACAGATAAAAAAACAGATTTTGCAAACTTGGTAGTTGGTTAAATGTCCTTTGACCAGTATCTGGCCACTTGGAGTGCCTCTGGTGTTGCCGCAAGAAGGTCCTCCATTGTGCATAAAGCAAATGTGTGCAGGGGCACACCATGAAAAAGCACACAGACTGTAGAATCGCAGTGCTCAAAAGCTCAGTATGAAAAACACACACTTGAAGAATGCAAATATATAGATGCATTGGCAACCTACAGTTGCCAATGAAATAAGAAATGTGGTCGGTGGTTTGTTCTTCTCCGCACTCGCATGCTGTGGATTCCACCTTGTAGCCCCATTTCTTAAGATTGGCTCTGCATCTCGTGGTGCCAGAGCGCAGTCTGTTCAGCGCCTTCCAAGTCACCCAGTCTTCTGTGTGCCCAGGGGGGAGTCTCTCATCTGGTATCACCCATGGATTGAGGTGCTGGGTTTGGGCCTGCCACTTTTGGACTCTCGTTTGCTGAGGTGTTCCAGCGAATGTCTCTGTAGATCTAAGAAAACTATGTCTTGATTTAAGTCGTTGACGTGCTGGCTGATACCCAAACAGGGGATGAGCTGGAGATGTCTCTGCCTTGGTCCTTTCACTATTGGCTGCTACTTCCTGGTGGATGTCAGGTGGTGCAATACCGGCTAAGCAGTGTAATTTCTCCAGTGGTGTGGGGCGCAGACACCCTGTGATAATGCGGCATGTCTCATTAAGAGCCACATCTACTGTTTTAGTGTGGTGAGATGTGTTCCACACTGGGCATGCATACTCAGCAGCAGAGTAGCATAGCGCAAGGGCAGATGTCTTCACTGTGTCTGGTTGTGATCCCCAGGTTGTGCCAGTCAGCTTTCATATGATATTGTTTCTAGCACCCACTTTTTGCTTGTGATGTTCAGGCAGTGCTTCTTGTAGGTCAGAGCACGGTCCAAAGTGACTCCCAGGTATTTGGGTGTGTTGCAATGCTCCAGTGGGATTCCTTCCCAGGTAATCCTCAGAGCTCGGGATGCTTGTCTGTTCTTAAGGTGAAAGGCGCATGTCTGTGTTTTAGATGCAGGTGAAATATCAGGAGAGAATGCCTCTAGAACATGGCCATATAGCCCGAAAAAACCTACAACAACCCAGTGATTCCCGCTATGAAAGCCTTCAACAATACATTTTCATGATCATTTTACCAAATGTCTGGAAAGTTATTATTGTTAGTAGTGTAGTGTACTAAGGATGGGGCACTGCTTCTCCCAAAACAGGTCTTGTTTTTCCCCCTCCAATGAAATTTCATCTCCTCTAGTTCTAAAATGCACACCAATCTTGAGTCCCTGTATCAGGAGAAAGCTGGGATGTAAACAAACAAACAAGTGTTGCTTTTTGAGGAGACTACAGTTTATAAAATATCCTAACCAGCATGCCAAAAGTCTAAAAAACCCACAACTTTTCCATCTTGGAAGACATGATGCTATCCCCCATGAATAGGCTTGATAGAAGATCTGGTCTACTAAACACCCACGGGGCTGCTGGAATTGAATTTGTTGTTATTGTTGTTCCTGAAATGACGGTGGTGGGGCACCTCAAGCACAATTTCACATTTCTAGCAATAAATATAATAAATCCAACTATTTAGCATTTGCTGCCTCCTACCTAATAATAGGTTGTTCCACACTCCTGTTGTTATTCCTCCTTCGCTACCTTTCCAAGTGCAATATAGTCTCTTTGGTGTCCTGAGATTGAGTCCTAATGATCTGCTACCACATGTCCAGTTGTTTCTCTCGCAGAGCCACATTCATGCTCTGAACCTCTCTTTTCCTCCATTGTAGGATTTTGTGGTGACAGCTGTCTTCACCTTCATGTGGTTGGTGAGCTCCTGTGCTTGGGCCAAGGGGCTTTCCGATGTCAAGGAGGCCACTGACCCGGACAACGTGATTAAAAGTGTGAGCGCATGTGGAGAACCCAATGTGAAGTGCAAGGAGATACGGGAGCCGATCGCCTCTGGCCTCAACACCTCTGTGGTTAGTTCTCCAGCTTCCTATAATGGAGCATTACTGAGGCATATGTGTGCCTGTGTTAGGACTGCCTGGTGAAATAAGGAATACCTTTAAATACCTTTAATAGCTGTTTAGACAAGCCAATTTCACAAGTGTTCCTTGTACGAGGGTTGAATGAAAATTAATGCCTCCACCTTCGTAACTCCTCAACAGATGGCAGGACTGGTATGCGGCAGGTACTGACTTGTTTAGTAGACTCTCCTCTACAGTTCCATTTTGGTGGGATGGCTTAGCATTGAACAGTTTAGATGAAGGGTTAGAAGGCAGGATCATCAAGTTTGCAGACGACACCAAATTGGGAGGGATAGTCAATACTCCAGAGGACAGGAGCAGGATTCAAAAGTATCTTGACAGATTAGAGAGATGTTGACAGATTAGAGAGATGGGCCAAAACTAAGAAAATGAAGTTCAACAGGGACAAATGCAAGATACTCCACTTAGGCAGAAAAAACGAAATGCAAAGATACAGAATGGGGGACATGCCTGGCTCGAGAGCAGTACGTGTGAAAAAGATCTTGGAGTCCTCGTGGACAACAAGTTAAACATGAGCCAACAATGTGATGTGGCGGCAAAAAAAGCCAATGGGATTTTGGCCTGCATCAATAGGAGCATAGTGTCAAGATCTAGGGAAGTAATGCTACCCCTCTATTCTGCTTTGGTTAGACCACACCTGGAATATTGTGTCCAATTCTGGGCACCACAATTCAAGAGAGATATTGACAAGCTGGAATGTGTCCAGAGGAGGGTGACTAAAATGATCAAGGGTCTGGAGAACAAGCCTATGAGGAGCGGCTTAAGGAGCTGGGCATGTTTAGCCTGAAGAAGAGAAGGCTGAGAGGAGATATGATAGCCATGTATAAATATGTGAGAGGAAGCCACAGGGAGGAGGGAGCAAGCTTGTTTTCTGCTTCCTTGGAGACTAGGACGCGGAACAATGGCTTCAAACTACAAGAGAGGAGATTCCATCTGAACATGAGGAAGAACTTCCTGACTGTGAGAGCCGTTCAGCAGTGGAACTCTCTGCCCCGGAGTGTGGTGGAGTCTCCTTCCTTGGAAGCTTTTAAACAGAGGCTGGATGGCCATCTGTCAGGGGTGATTTGAATGCAATATTCCTGCTTCTTGGCAGGGGGTTGGACTGGATGGCCCATGAGGTCTCTTCCAACTCTTTGATTCTATGATTCTATGAGTTGTGTTGTTTTTTTGTCTTAGTTTTTTTAAATTTTAATTTGTTTTTATTTAGAATGAGTTTGCTCCTCGAGATTGGAGCTGGAAAAAGAAAGATAGGCATACTGTGTTTTCATCTTGAGTACATAAAAAGAGTGGGAACAATGGGTTATAATAAAGTAGGAAAGAAGAGCGTAAAAAGAAAAGAAAGAATAAGAAAAAGAGTTAAAAGAAAAAGAGAAAAAAGAAGAGAAAATAATAATAGTAGGAAAAAAATGGAAAAGTGCGGCAACGAGGAAGGGGTGGTTAAAATACTTCCAGCACCACCCAGGCTTGGGAAATATATTTATTTTGTCTTCGTTTGCCTAAATCATTGGCTTCTTATTGATACTCCTTCAAGTTTCGTTCATAAATTCTTGATGTAAATTTATTTATTTTCTTTTTTTATGAATTCCATAAAGCTTCTCCAGTCAGTTCTTTGAGGTTTTACACTATTTTGTGAAATTTTATGTGTAAGTATATCCATGTTCATGTGTTGTTAAAGTGTGAAGTTGGTTGGTCAATGCGACTTAAGCAACGTGCAGTCATTCAATTCTTGGCAGAGTGTCAACTTCTTCTGTGACGGCTTCAGAAAACTTGTTCATTGTTGACAGAAATGTATCCAATTGTCTGGAGATTATGTGGGAAAGTGAATAGTGGTAGTTAAAGAGCACATTCTAAGGGTTATTTCTGCATTTGAGTTATTAAAATATTCCCATCCAAACCCAAGTAACGAAGGTGGAAGCATTACTTTTCATTCAACACTCGTATAAGAAGCAACTCCTGCTGAATTTCCCTCTTCTACTCATCTGTTAAAAGGAACAGGAACCACATTTCTGATTTCATTGGCAACTGTAGGCTATGCGTCTATGTATTTGCATTCTTCAAGTGTGTGTTTTTCATACTGAGCTTTTGAGCACTGAAAAAGTCTGTGTGCTTTTTCATTGTGTGCCCTTGCTAACATTTGCTTTATGCATTTTGATTGTGTTGCTTTTAGTGTTAGGCCCTTCTACCCACCTGTATAAAATCCACATTCAATAATAATAATAATAATGATAATAATAATAATAATAATCTTTATTTATACGCCATCACCATCTCCCCAAAGGGGACTCGGGGCAGCTTACATGAGGCCATGCCCATCAATACAGAAACACAGTAAAACACAAAAACACAACAGAAAATCAGAAAATAAAATAACATAGCATACAAAAATACCAAATGTAAATATACAGCACAACAATACGAAATCAAAACATTAAACCATTAAAATTGAACACAATGGACAGGGTCAGTTCAAAGATTAAAATTTTAAAACACTGGGAGATAGGGCAGTGTAAAATATCAGGAAGGGGATGAACTGGATTATATGGCAGTGTGGACTCAGGTAATCCAGTTCAAACCAGATATTGTGGATTATCTGCCTTGATATTCTGGTTTATGTGGAAGGGCCCTTAAATTCCTTAAGAATACAGATATTCTTATATTTATTGCTTTCAGTCTAGCTCTCTCACTGCACATGTGTCTGCAGCATTAATTTGACTTAATTGTTAGATTAATAATTGTAAAAAATTAATTGAATAACCAGTGGAGCCAGCTGTTCTGTTTCTTATTTTGCCAGGGGGTCTGAAACTGTTTTCCTTTTGATTGTCACTATGAAATAGAATTTTTTTTAAAAAAAAGAATACAAGCCTTCTTTTCTATAAGTGGCACATTTATTCCAGTTTTCGAAAAATTACCCATTTTGCAATTATTTCCCAGTTGGGACTATGTACAAGTGCTGCACAGTTGACATAGTGTTGCTGCTGCTGCTTTGTATACATCTATTGCTATGTCAGGTTATAAGAATGCCTCAGTTTGTGCAATGATCTGTGGATATTGGTATTTACTGATCTGTGTTTAATTGATAGATGGTTTCAGGCAAAAATCCTTTATTGATAGTGTGCATCTATCTCATTGCCTGCTCTGCTGCTTTTGATGAGTTCTGTTTCTTGTTGCCCACATCCTGGTATTATAGTTTTGGATCTCACCCAAAGGCGTCTTGATCTGGATGACTCTTTTGTCCTTCTTTTTTAAAGTGGAGATGACAGAAACACTGATTTTAAGCTCCTTCCTCATATTTCTTCCTATATGTTTTCTCCCCTGGTGAGATCAATCTGGTCAGATATTCTACCATATGAAGCCATGATTTTTCTCAAATTATTTTTCAAAAAAACACAACCAAATCATATTGAGGCATCTAATGTAATCCTTTCTTCAATTGCCAATCTTAGGAAGATAACAACAACAACATCAACCACAACAACAACAACATTTTATTTATATTCTGCCCTTCTCCCCTTGGGAACTCAGAGCGGATTACAGCATATAAACAGACACAGGCAAACATTCAATGCCTTGTTACAATGACATACAATGACACACAAATACACAGACAAAGGCAAAGGCTTCTCCTTTCATTTCTGGTTCTGTAGGTGTTGCTCATATCAGGTTCTGGGGAAGGTGCTCATTTCCATTTGCAAGCCGAGGAGCCTGCCTTGTCCATAGACACCTCCTGGTTGTGTGGCTGGCATGAGTGCACAGAGCACCCTTTTGCCTTTCCCGCCAGGGTAGTACCTATTGCTCTACTCACATTTGCATGTTTTTGAACTGCTAAGTTTGCAGGAGCTAGGGCTAACAGCAGGAGCTCATTCCATACCGCGGATTTGAACTGCTTACCTTCAGCAGCACAAGGGTTTAGCCCATTGCACCGCCGCCCTATGAGGATTCTATGAGATGTTGCCATGGCAGTTAAAGTGGAATAATATTTCTATAATTCTGTAGTATGGAGAAGGGAAGCAATTTGTGAAGCACAGGAAGGAGAGTTTACTCTTCCAAGCAGCTCTTCTTATTCAATTAGTTAGTTATTTACGACATTTATATGCCATCCTTCTCACCCCGAAGGGGACTCAGAGCGGCTTACAATATATATATATATATAAGCCGAAGAGCCGGTGTTGTTCGTAGACACCTCCAAGGTCATGTTATTTATCTACGACATTTATATGTGTCCGACTCTGGGATGTGGTGCTCATCTCCATTTCTAAGCCGAAGAGCCGGCGTTGTCCGTAGACACCTCATGTGGCCGGCATGACTGCATGGAGCACCGTTACCTTCCCACCAGAGCGGTACCTATTGATCTACTCATATTCACATGTTTTCGAACTGCTAGGTTGACAGAAACGGGCTAACAGCAGAAGCTCACACCGCTCCCCGGAATCGATCCTGCAACCTTTCGATCAACAAGCTCAGCAGCTCAGCGCTTTAACCCACTGCACCACCATAATATCAGTGTTATATATTAGTATATTATACTATACCATTATATTGTAATATTATTAGTAATATTACATGTAATATACAATATATAATTATAATATCATATTATTATTAGTATTATATTGCATTACATTATAATAGTATAAATATTATATGTATATACAATATATTACATTACATTATTAGCATAGCACAGGAGACAAGGTGGAACTGTTTGCTTTCCCAAATTAATGTTGTTTGAGGTGTTGGCTCTCTGATCCTCTTTCCAAATCTCACCCCTACAGTGCATCGACTGGGACTCAATAAAGCTCCCATTGCCATCACCGAGATGCAATCGGTGGTATACCTATATCAATAGGGTAGCTTAATCCTAGCTTTAAAAATACTGTCAAAAGTGCTGGCACATATCTCCAAAAGATTACATATAGCTCCTTTAGAATTGCAATTAAAGCCCATATTCACTGCACCATAGACATTAGCGTAACTAGCTGATAGTGAAGAAGGCTATGTCTTAAGACTGGTGGGAGGCTTAGGTCAGGGGGATGAGGGGGAGCTCTGATGTTGCCTAAGTTTGACACTGGCTCCACTCACATCTGTTTCCGACTCTGCCCACGACTGAATTATGCCCCTGAGAAAATATAATTTTAAAAATCCTTCAAAGTAGTTTGAAAAACATCCCCTTTGCTTACACAATATAAGAAAACCGCAATGACTAATGGCTGTACTTATGCTAATGTCCCGTAGAGCAGTTACATTAGGGCAAATTCAGAGACAGGCTTGCTTTCCAATGAGAATAATGATGTGCTGAGTGTATGAATCAGCCATCAAAGAACAAACACCACTGGCAAGAGCTTTTTTAAATCCTTGAATATACTTTCCAATGACAGTATATATAGGACTGTCAGCTTGTTCTTAAATGGCCATGAGGATGCTTGCCATAGATGCAGGCAAAACGTCAGGAGAGAATGCCTCTAGAACATGGCCCGTTCTGGAATGCCCTTCCAAGGGAAATAAGACAGGCCCCATCCCTCTCCTCCTTTCGTAAGAGCTTGAAGACCTGGTGGTTTCAACAAGCCTTTGAAAATGACCAGTTCTAACTCAGCCCTACACATTGTCGAATACGGCCTTATTCTTCCTACCAATTACCCAGATCATTTCCTCTAATCGGCCCCGGAATGAACAGCCACAGACCCGTACCTAATATTATTGTTGCCTGCCATAGCATTGCACTTAATTTTTGGGCTTGCACAAATCTTGGCCCGGCCTTTTTAAATTTTTCAATTGCCTTGAACAGGCAGGATTATTTTAATATATGTATGTTATGGCGACAATTTTTATGCTATTTTGTTTTGTTAATCTTATGGTTATGTTGTTTTTTACTTTGTATGTTTTGCGATGTTACCTGGGAACTGCTCTGAGTCCCCTTGGGGAGATGGAGCGGTATATAAATGGGTTGTTGTAGTTTTTTCGGGCTATATGGCCATGTTCTAGAGGCATTCTCTCCTGACATTTCACCTGCATCTATGGCAAGCATCCTCAGAGGTAGTGAGGATGCTTGCCATAGATGCAGGCGAAACGTCAGGAGAGAATGCCTCTAGAACATGGCCATATAGCCCGAAAAAGCCTACAACAACCCAGTGATTCCGGCCATGAAAGCCTTCGACAATACAAAGTTTTATTTATTATTTATTTATTCCGCTGTCAGCCCCAGCTTCTGCCAACCTAGCAGTTCGAAAACATGCAAATGTGAGTAGATCAATAGGTACTGCTCCAGCAGGAAGGTAACTGCGCTCCATGCAGTCATGCTGGCCACATGATCTTTATTATTTATTTATTCCGCTGTCAGCCCCAGCTTCTGCCAACCTAGTAGTTCGAAAACATGCAAATGTGAGTAGATCAATAGGTACTGCTCCAGCAGGAAGGTAACGCTCCATGCAGTCATGCTAGCCACATGATCTTGGAGGTGTCTATGGACAACACTCTTCAGCTTAGAAATGGAGATGAGCACCAACCCCCAGAGTCGGACACAACTGGACTTAATGTCAGGGGAAAACCTTTACCTTAAGAATATGCTCCTTACTGCTTCATCTGTCTCCTGCCAGGTCAATTTAAAATGGCCAATTTAAAGGAAAATTGAGCCTTTAGGCTGCTGGTGAGGCAAGCTAGACCTGTCACATCTCCAACTAGGACTACTGAGGCTCCTTCTACACTGCTATATAATTCAGATTATCATATCAGATTATTTATTTATTTAAAACATTTATATTCCGCCCTTCTCACCCCAAAGGGGACTCAGGGGCACATCATATACACGGCAAACATTCAATGTCGGGACACAAATTCACATTCACATACATAAACATTAAAAAAATATCAAAATATTAAAATTCATATTATCTGCTTTGAACTGGATTATATGAGCCTACACTGCCATATAATCCAGTTCAGAGCAGATCATCTGGATTTTATATGGCAGTGTAGAAGGGATCTGAGATATTATCTGATGGGTATATTTATATAAATCAGACTTTTAGTTTCCAGTAGAATAGAGAAGACTGTGTAAAGCCTTTTGGATATGCTTTTATGCATCTGCAGCTGTTGCTGGGAGACCTACCACCATGGTAGACATGATAGCCATGTATAAATATGTGAGAGGAAGTCATAGGGAGAAGGGAGCAAGCTTGTTTTCTGCTGCCCTGGACTAGGACGCGGAACAATGGCTTCAAACTACAAGAGAGGAGATTCCATCTGAACATGAGGAAGAACTTCCTGACTGTGAGAGCCGTTCAGCAGTGGAACTCCCTGCCCCAGAGTGTGGTGGAGGCTCCTTCTTTGGAAGCTTTTAAACAGAGGCTGGATGGCCATCTGTCAGGGGTGATTTGAATGCAATATTCCTGCTTCTTGGCAGTGGGTTGGACTGGATGGCCCATGAGGTCTTCCAACTCTTTGATTCTATGGGCAGCAAAACTGCTGCATCCCCATTTCAGCAATGGATTTGAAATTCGGACCCTTCTACACTGCACTATATCTCAGGATCTGATCCCAGATTATCTACTTTAAACTGGATTATATGAGTCTCCACTGCTAGTCTGAGATAAACAAGGATCACATATTGCGATATAGGGCAGTGTGGAAGGGGCCTCTGTTAGAGCCAGATAACTCTTTGGCAACTTTTCTGGCCTTTTCCAGTTAAAGGATCACTCATGAACTTCTCCAAGAAATGTTTGCTCATCGCAATCAGTTTCACTTCCTCTGCAGAACATTTTATTTCACAACTCAGAGCAATGCCATGATCTGTATTCTGGGTTTACTTTGTTTTCTAATATTGACTGCTGTTGGCTACTAAATCTTTAAACTTTCCCACATTATAACATTATAGGTGCACTTTAGCGGCCATGGATGCAACCTACAGAATCCTGAAATTTGGTGGGTTGGTCAAAACGACTAGTTTGAAATTTTCCTCACCCAGATTACAAACTTTAAGCACTACATCATACCATTTCAGATCATACATTTTCTCTGCCTCCTTCTCCAAACTCCATAGGGGACAATTTGAAACACCCCCGGCTTCCATTTGTAACTCTTCTGTGTTTTTCCAATGCTTCAAAGGATGAAAGACCCATTTCCCAGGTTGCTTCTTGGTAAGACAAGTAGACAGTTGCACCGACCTACCTTTCAAGGCAGCTGCCCATTGGCAATACACAAAGAGTAGTCCATAACAGACTTAGGGGCCTTCCACACAGCCTTCTAACCCAGAATATCAAGGAAGAACGGCCTGCCTCAGGGAGCGTGCTTGCTCCATCCATGTTCAACATTTACACAAATGACCAGCCACTGCCAGAAGGGACAGAGAGTTTCATCTATGCTGATGATCGTGCCATTACCACTCAAGCAGGGAGCTTTGAGATGGTTGAACAGAAGCTCTCCGAAGCTCTAGGTGCTCTTACTGCCTATTACAGGGAAAACCAACTGATCCCTAATCCATCTAAAACACAGACATGTGCTTTTCACCTTAAGAACAGACAAGCATCCCGAGCTCTGATTCACCTGGGAAGGAATCCCACTGGAGCATTGCAGCACACCCAAATACCTGGGAGTCACTCTGGACCGTGCTCTGACCTACAAGAAGCACTGCCTGAATATCAAGCAAAAAGTGGGCACTAGAAACAATGTCATAAGAAAGCTGACTGGCACAACCTGGGGATCACAACCAGACACAGTGAAGACATCTGCCCTTGCGCTATGCTACTCTGCTGCTGAGTATGCATGCCCAGTGTGGAACACATCTCACCACGCTAAAACAGTGGATGTGGCTCTTAATGAGACATGCCGCATTATCACGGGGTGTCTGCGCCCTACACCACTGGAGAAATTACACTGTTTAGCCAGTATTGCACCACCTGACATCCACCAGGAAGTAGCAGCCAATAGTGAAAGGACCAAGGCAGAGACATCTCCAGCCCATCCCCTGTTCGGACATCAGCTAGCACGCCAATGACTTAAATCAAGAAATAGTTTTCTAAGATCTACAGAGACACTCGCTGGAACACCTCAGCAAGCGAGAGTCCAAAAGTGGCAGGCTCAAACCCAGAACCTCAATCAATGGCTGATACCAAATGAGAGACTCCCCCCTGGGCACACAGAAAACTGGGCGACTTGGAAGGCGCTGAACAGACTGCGCTCTGGCACCACGAGATGCAGAGCCAACCTTAAGAAATGGGGCTACAAAGTGGAATCCACGACATGCGAGTGTGAAGAAGAGCAAACTACAGACCATCTGCTGCGATGCAACCTGAGCCCTGCTACATGCACAATGGAGGACCTTCTTATAGTAACACCAGAGGCACTCCAAGTGGCCAGCTACTGGTCAAAGGACATTTAATCAACTACCAAGCTTGCAAACTTTGTGTTTTGTTTGTTTGTTTGTTAAAAAATGTAATACAACTATTTGGTTTGCTCCTGACACGATAAATAAATAAAGGGAGATAATCAACAATATCTGCTTTGAACTGTATTATCTGAGTCCGCACTGCCATATAATCTAGTTCATTGTGGATTTTATAAACTGTGTGGAAGGGCCTTTAGACACCAATGGCTCTTCCTTTTTGCAAATGGCTATGTGGCCATATGGCTATCCCTTCTTCTTTGAGACCTGCATTACCTTATGGCACCCTCTCTTCCCAAGAAAGAACTGCTCCAGAGAGGAAAAATGCCTCTTTTCAATTGTTATCCTTTCTCTGCCTCATCTTTTTTTTTCTTGTCTTTTCCCCCAGGTCTTTGGCTTCCTGAACTTGGTGCTTTGGCTGGGGAACCTGTGGTTCGTGTTCAAAGAGACGGGATGGAGCGCCCCCTTCATGAAGTACCCCCCTGCCCAGGAGAAACCACCGGCACCCGAGGCTTATGGCGACGCCTACAACCAAGCCCCAGGCTATGGACAGCAGGATACTTATGGGCAGCAGGGTGGCTACCAACCCGACTACAGCCAGCAGGGCTACGGTCAGCAGGGCGAGTTCGGCCAGCAAGGTGGCTACGTCCAAGGCGGGCCCACTTCCTTTGCAAACCAGATGTAGGCGGGTGAGTAATGGTTGGGTGGGCTGTTGGGAATTGTGGGAGTTGAAGTCCAAAACACCTGGAGGGCCGAAGTTTGCCTAATCTAGTAGATCAAAGGAAGTCACCCAAGTGCCTCTCTATTCTGCTTTGGTTAGACCTCACCTGGAATACTGTGTCTAGGCACCACAAATCAAGAGAGATATTGACAAGCTGGAAGGTGCCTAGAGGAAGGCAATTTAAATGATCAAAAGTCTGGAAACCATGAATTCATATGAGGAGTGGTTTAAGGAGTTGGGCATATTTAGCCTGCATAAAAGAAGTTTGAGAAGAAACATGATTGCCGTGATTTTATTATACTCACATTGTGAGCAAACCCATAGATGGAAACCACCATACTGGCCCTCTCCATAGAAATGTCCCTCTAATATCAAATCAAATCAAATCATTTATTTCGGTCATTGACCAGCACAGGAAATAGAGTCACATTTTCATACAAACTTGGTATGTTTGGTACATTAAAAATATAAATATAACTACTGAAGCACAATATGGGTGAGGGAGCAGAAGGGAAGGGGAAACAGGGTAAAAACATACAATGCCCAGATCCATCACCAAATTGTAGATTCAGAGAAGGAGATTACTGGACACACAGTTAACTTTTGGGACTAGTCATTCCCTGACGGATTTTGTATGCTGCTGCACAGAACTTTGCAACATTGTAGGTTGTAGCTGAATTAATATCTGCAAGTAGCATGGAGGTATAAAATTGTCCTGAATGGCCTGGGTGCTTGTATAACAGAGGTAAGATAAGCCTGGCACGGATATCCCTGTAGAACGGGCACTGAAGGAGCACATGTTCTATTGTTTCTACATGACCCGAGTCACAGGGGCAGAGTCTCTCTGGGAAAGGGATCTTCCGGTAGCGGCCTTTGAGTACAGCTGATGGGAGAGCGTGGCATCGAGCCAGGGTGGGTGAAAGCCCTTCGATGAATGGGAACCTCTAAGTTTGTTAAATATGCCATAGGGGAGGCAAGATATCTGCTGTCTTCATTGATAAGGAAGGTTGGAACCAAGGCCAGATCTAGTTGTCGCTCTGTGTCTGTGATACGTTGTTTAATAAGTGCTTTGGCTTGATTGTAATCCATAGCGAATAGTAGACCTGGAGAAAATCCCAATGAGGAGATTTTTGATGCTACCACCTGCTTCCATGTGGATTGGAAGTCATCCTTCATGGTTAGTGGGGCAAGACCAAAGGGTGCACGGGATAGTCTGAGCCAGAGGTTGAGTATGGCCACCCACACCCTGGCCTCCACTCTCATAAAGCCCGTCTCTAGTCGCAGGGTGGCATTAGAAACGCATTTAGGGACCTGCAAGGCCGATCTCAGAAACTTTGACTAAACCAGCTCTATTGTTTCTACATGACCCGAGTCACAGGGGCAGAGTCTCCCTGGAAAAGGGATCTTCCGGTAGCGACCTTCGAGTACAGCTGAAGGGGCCCAGCTGAGCACCATACAAGAGTTGGGCTAATGACTTGGCTTCAAACAGCTTGAGCGCTGCCGGTGTGAAGTGGCCCCCTCTTGTCCTAAGATATTTAAGAATGGCAATTGAGCTCCCCTGCGCGGTGTTGGATACTTGATCCCCATGAGCTCTTCTGCTACCATTAGATTGGAAAACTACACCTAGATATTTGAAGGATGTAACTTGTTCAATTTTATGACCATCTATGCTCCAAGAGTAAGTCCTGGGCCTATTAGCGAAAGCCATGATTTTGGTTTTATTGTAATTAAGTTGGAGCTGATCTGTGTTGCAATGTTGTATTAATGCTCTCAGAGCTCTTTTGAGCCCAATGGGTGTTCTAGAGAGTACAGCAGCAGCATCTGCATAAAGCAGGATGGAGATGTGTCTTCCCGCCAGCTTTGGGGGGTGGAAGTCCATATTTTGAAGCTGGTCCACTATGGAGTTTATATAAAAGTTGAACAGCAAAGGGGCCAGGACGCAGCCTTGCTTGACACCCTTGCCTGTTTCAACAGCCTCAGTGAGGTGGCCCTGTGGGTTGCATCTTACTTTGAGTGTGAATAGTTTAAAATATTGTTAAAGTATCTACAGATGTAAAAGCTGTCATTCCTTCAGGAAATTATCATTTGTTAGTGATATTTTTTTTCATACCTCTTACAGGAATACAAACACAACAATAATAAATGCACAGCCTTTCAACGTAAAGTAGTTAGTATTCTTTCACTTCTTGATCCCACTGATAAATAGCTGTGCATGTGTCTAAAATGGACTGGGGTGATTATTAGGGACACATTTTCAATAACCCAGTGATGGAGACCCCTTTGCACAGTTGTGTCCATCAGCTGTGTAGAAAAACGCCCACACACATCTGGACTGCAAGGAGCTGGGTCTCTGTCAGCATACATAGCATGACAACAAACCTTTGGGATTATCGCCAATAGATAATCAGCTTTTCTGGCCTGCCCTGAGAGAATTGGAATTTGTAGTCTATAGCAAGGCCAGCGAGGCTGTTAAGCCTCACTTGGACAAACAGGACTGTCCTCTTAAATTCATAACAAACACAACTACCAGGGGAATGCAGCAGCATCCTGGATTTTGTCGCAAGCACTTGGCTCCCATCCTGCTCAATCAATCTTGAAAGGCCAAAAGAGTTCAGTGGCTTCAGCACTGCCTTTACTGAAGATTAGTCCTCGATTCCTGAAGTCCAAATAGCCACCTTCCTAGGGTGCATCCACTCTAGAATGAATGCAGTTTGGCACCCTGGCTCAATGCTATGGAATCATGGGAGTTACAGTTTTACAAGGTCTTTAGCATTGTGAATTCTGTGCTGCACCAAACAGTTAAAGTGACATCAAACTGCATCAGTTCAACAGTGTAGATTCATTCTTGTTTCTTTATCATCCATTTGAACATTTTTTAAGAAAATAGTTCTTTGCCATTTCCATTGATCTGGATGAATGAATATAGGGTGGTATTTGGTTCAAGATGTAAGCATATGAATAATGTGTTGACATGTGTGCAATAATACAATCAGGAATACTATATTATCCTATTATGCAAAAAACTGTGTGCCTTCAATTTATTATTATTATTATTATTATTATTATTATTATTGTTATATACTAGCTGTCTCCTGCCACGTGTTGCTGTGGCCCAGTCTGTGTATATGTGTTTTGTGATGTGTATGTGTATATATTTGTGTATATGTATATATGTGGTGTTTGTGTGTGGTTTTGCGCATGCTGTTGTAATGTTTTTTTTATTTTTTGGCTTTTTAAGTCTTTTCTGTTGTGTTTTTCAGTGTTTTTAGGAGTGATGGTCACTCGTTGGCCTGATAGGTGTACTTGTGTCCAAATTTGGTGTCAATTGCCCCAGTGGTTTTTGAATTATGTTAATCCCACAAAAACAACATTACATTTTTATTTATATAGTATAGCTGAAACAAACAAGATGAGTCCACAGCAGACAAGATCACTCTGCTGGCTGTTGTATTGGATTCAACATCGGACACTTCCCAAGCGTCTAGGACTGTGTGATGTATCAGGAATAATGCGTGCAGATCCCAGTAAGAGAGGCACTTGCATTAGGCAAGCCCCTACCCTAGCAGCCTTTAAGAAAGATCTAAAAACTTCAGATGTGCCTTCGGAGAGCGACCATTCAACCCATTTTGTTTGTTTTCATCTACAGTTGTCCTCATGATGCACTTTCCCCTGTCCTTAATAAAGGCCAAACCGCACTGCTCCCCCTTCTTGGCCTATTCCCTCACAAATACACTTTTTATACACTTTTTTATTCCTATCTCATCCAGGGTTTTAACATTTTAGCTCGTGCATTTGTCCCACCCTTTGTGTTTGATTTTTATTATGTTACTAGCCGTCCCCTGCCACGCGTTGCTGTGGCCCAGTCTGGTGATCTAGAAAATAAAGTAATGAGAAAGTGTTGGTTTCTAATATATGTATTTTCTTTATGCTTGTGGGTAAACAGTTCATGGGGTTCCGAATGCTTTCTGTTTGTAGGTGAACTGTAAATCCCAGTGACTACAAAGCCCAAATGTCAGGGTTTATTTCCCCTAAACTCTATCTGTGTTCATATTTGAGTATATTGAGTATTCCTGCCAAGTTTGGTCCAGATCCATTTTTGTTTGAATCCACAGTGTTCTCTGGATATAGGTGAACTACAACTCCCAAAGTCAAGGTCAATGCCCCACCAAACCCTTCCAGTGTTTTCTGTTGGTCATGGGAATCCTGTGTGCCACGTTTAGTTCAATTCCATCATTGGTGGAGTTCAGAATGCTCTTTGATTGTAGGTGTACTATAAATCCCAGCAACTACAACTCCCAAATGACAAAATCTATTTTTTTTAGTGATGGTCACTCATTGGGTTAGTAGGTGTCTTGTGGCCAAATTTGGTGTCAATTCGCCCAGTTGTTTTTGAGTTATGTTAATCCCACAAACGGACATTACATATTTATTTATATAGATTTTGCACTGTTTATTTTATTCGGTTATTTTATGTATTTTGCGGTGATGTAATATTTCTGCTCTTTTGTTTCTAACTTTGCTGTATTATTTTTGGGCTTGGCCTCATGATAGCCGCCCTGAGTCCCCTTTGGGGAGATGGTGGGGGATATAAATAAAGATTATTGCACTGGTATGGCTGTACCAGGAGCTCCAGCTTTATTTGCTTTGTATTGGATGTTTGCTTACAGTCCAAGGATTCTGCAGAAAGGTGGCTTCCTTTGGTTGCAGTTATAGGGCAGGCCACGTGTCCATCATTGTTAAGTTTTGATCCCACCCTTGCTCAGGGGAATTGGGAAAGGAGGGGAGCTATTTTTAGTTAGTCTCAGCAAGGAAAGCTAATGTACAGGACGTGTGCAAGCTTCCCCTGTACAAAAGCTTCAACCCTTAAGACTTCCGGGGGAAAACAGTCTTAAGAGCATCCAAAGATTCCCAAAGATTCCCAGGGAAACAGCCCTAAAGCTCTGAGGAATTTCGGAGGGAAAAACAGCTTTGAATATCAAAGAACTCCAGCTGAAGAGACTACAGGCCTTGCTGGTAGGTCCACTCGGTGCTTTGAGACGCAGTTCAACCCGGTAGTGGAGCCCACATCAGTTAGGTTTAGGTTCACAGTCAGCCTGGGAGAAGTTAGAAAGGGATTTTCCTTTAAAGTAAAGTAACAGTTAGTAGCCACCAGTTGCACAAAAGCCTGGAAGCATTTGTTTAACCTTTTGAAGACAAGAGAAGTTTCTGTTGATTGTTCCTCAATAAAAGACTTTGTTATATTTCACAAGCCCTCTAAAGACTGTTTGTGGTGGAAAATTCCTAAGAGCTTCTCTTTGGGCCCCCTGGCTTCCCGCTGGGCAAAGTTTGCACGTCCTGTTCTAAAGGAAATTCTTTACAGGCCCAGCGCGCGACAGAACTATTATTATTATTATTTTCATTATTATTCCAAAGTTAATCCTCTCTCTCTCTCTCTCTCTCTCTCTGCTTTCTTTCCACAGGTCCCTACCCGCAGTAGGAGGAGGCGCTGCGAGGAGGAAGCCGCCATCCTGTCCCTGCCCCCCATGTCCCCTTGTGCAGGGGAAAGGGGGGGCGGGTGGGTGCTCGCGCTGGGAGGGGGCTGGCGGGGTTCCCCCCTCCCAGGATGAATGTAGATGTTCGTGCTGTTTATATATATATATTATATATATATGAGAAACTACAACTAGAGATAGAGACCGCCCCCCTCTCCCACTGCCCCATTGCCTCATGCACACACACAAGCACACACAACACACTGCCCTACTCCATTCCTCAACCCGGGACAGCTCCTTGACCACCCACACCACTCCTTTTATACCACCCCCCATCCACCCTCCGGCCCTTTCCCTCCAGGATTCCCAATAAAGCTATACAATCTCCCCTCCCCACCCCGATCCCTACCATTTGCCCTCCCTGTGCCCCTTGAATCTCATACCCGACAGTATGGAAGGCACTGCATGACTCTGGCATCACTCTTCCGACCCTGCTCCCTGCACATGGCAAACCCACCTCCATCTCCTCTCTGCATGCCCCAATGAAAGTGAGTTGGTCATGGGAGGAGGGGGTCTGAGGTGTGCGGGGGGGGGGGGGCTGCTAGGACACTGTCTTGAGTGCCCAATGACCAGGCAGGTTTAGGGCTCAATGGGATTGGGGATCACTTCTCTATCTGGCACTTTAAGTAACATTCTTTGCACACGGTCGCGCGCACACACTTCTGTTCCAGGCCCATCAACCCCAAAATGATGTAAGGGACAAGATAGAGGGTGGTGTCACTCTTGGGGTGGTCCTCTTCTGCTCCCCTTTCCTACTGATTCATATTGCAGATGGGGGGGCAGTATGACAAGGAGGGGCTAGGAAAGCTCCATAGCATATTGATCTGAAGGGGTGTGCATCTATTTATTTCTGCAGAAGGGTTTATTCTAGTAGGGAGGGTCAAGACAAAAATGGGGGTGGGGTCGCTCCTAGTGAGCTGTCTTTCGGGGGTCAGAGCCCCATTATTGCCCCTAATACCAGCATGTATGCCATGATTTCCAATCCAGCTGGGGTTCACAGTTCGGAGGCGGGGTGGGGACAGATGGGGAGACTCCTATCCCCTTTCTCCTAGGCTTTCTCTAAACCACCCTCCGCTTTTCTTCTGTCACTTCTTCTTTCTCTCCTTTTTGTAATTCTAAGTCTTCTCGCATCTTTTTTTTTTTACCCCATTGTCCACACCATTTGAATAAGTCCAGACTAGGGAAGGAGAAGCATTTTGATCCAGTCTTGTTTCTCATAAGAATGTTTCAGATTTATTATGCTCAGGATGGACAGAATGTGAGAACTCACACATGGGAGAAATCAGAATTGACAGTTGTCATTTGAGTCTGAATTTCTCTGGATTCGGCTATATTCATGGTGCTGAACAGAGATTGCTACCTCTTTTGTTTTGTCCTCCACTGCTGTATAGCAGTCAGGTACAACACTGTCTTATGTTGGGAATATCCAAACTTATTCAGATTGATCCCATGCATGCTGTCCCCACATACTCTTGCATTTGGGAAGTCTTCTGGGTAACCTTCAGAGACTGGAGACATTATTTTTGGGGCTACAATTCCCCAGCCAGCATAGCTACCATGCCATTTTGTAGTTGTCAGCCGAATAAAAGGAAAATAATGTCCAGGCTCTGACATGAACTTGAAGGAGGCACAGACTGCTGACCAAAAGGTCGGCAGTACAGGGAGTGGGGTGAACTCCCATCTGTCAGCTCCAGCTTCTCATGTGGGGACATGAGAGAAGCCGGAGCCCCCGGTGGTGCAGTGGGTTAAACCCCTGTGCCGGCAGGATTGAAGACCGACAGGTCGCAGGTTTGAATCCAGGGAGAGCATGGATGAGCTCCCTCTGTCAGCTCCAGCTCCTCGTGAGGGGACATGACGGAAGCCTCCCACAAGGATGGTACAAACATCAAAACATCCGGGCGTCCTCTGGGCAACGTCCTTGCAGACGGCCAATTTTCTCACACCAGAAGCGACTTGCAGTTTCTGAAGTCACTCCTGATACAACCAAACAATGAGAGAAGCCTCCCACAGGATAGTAAATGACTGTTGTACTCACATAGGAAATCTTATCTATCATTTCTGGCTCAACGTGGAGTAAGTTAATGTAATCAAAGCCTCCAACGTTTTCTCAAGATTGTAAGGCAATTTCCTGATCTATACACTCCTATGTATTGTTAAAGAAGGCCTATAGTTATTATCAAGGTAGAGGAGGAGTTATAATGTACCGTAAACACATATTTTGTATTTGACATCAAGTTATGAGCCTTTGCAAGACCTTGAACAAATAACTTTTTTAAATGCAGCTTCCAGAATCTTCCAGCTAGCATGGCAACTGAATGATTATGGGATTTATAGTTCAAAATGTAACTTTTCCAGGTTCTAATCTCAGCACACTTAGTTAGACATTCGCAGCATCTGAGTGTATTCTTCTCTGTAATTCTGCTGAGGATGAGAGTAATTTAGCATCTTTTTTCTGTTCTGACTCTGTCCCATTTCTGATTCATTTCTTGCATTTCGTTCTTCTATCTTTCCTCCCCTCTTCTTTCTTTTAAAAGTTTCTTACCATCTCCGCGTCCCCTCTCTTGAGCATCCCACTCACCCATCCTTTTCTCTGGCCCTTCCCACAATCCCTGCTCCTCTGCTCTCAATCTACAATCTGTGGCCTCCAAACAGACCTGTTTCTCATACCAGCCAAAGCTTCCCCCCATCTGCCCCACACTCCCTCCCCATCTACCCCAGTGGCACTCTGACTATATATTACTCAGTGTCTGTGTATCTGATCGTGCCGTAATTGTGCGTTTCGGTTTGTCCGGCTCTTTGCCCCGGTCGATATCGTGTGATTTTTTCTTCCATCTTTAAACGACAAAAAAAAACCAACGACAACAGCAACAGCAAAATGACAGGAAAAAAATATGCATTACTCCCCCCCAAGTCTGCCCCTCTCACCCCAAAGGTATAGAGAAAAAAATGGATAAAAACCAAATAAAAAGAGAAAGAAAATGTATTTCAAAACAAATGTCTGTAGTGTCTTTATTTCAGGTCATTCTCTTCATACTGCGTATCAAAGTCTCTGCATTGTTGCTGTGATCATTTTTTATTTATGGTGATCATTTCTGATTCATAGTAATCATTTCTGATTCATAGTAATCATTTCTAGGGCTCCTTCTAGGTGAAGGTAAAGGTTTCCCTTGACATTAAGTATAGTTGAGTCCAACTCTGGGGGGGGGGGGGKCATCTCTATTTCTAAGGCAATGTCCATAGACACCTCCAAGGTCATGTGGCCACCATGACTGCATGGAGCGCCATTACCTTCCTGCCAAGCGGTAGCTATTGATCTACTCACATTTGCATGTTTTTGAACTGCTAGGTTGGCAGAACACATCATGCGATGTGCGGGCCTTGATAAATGCAAAGCTGGGGTGAAAATTGCTGGAAGAAACATTAACAACCTCAGATATGCAGATGACACCACTCTGATGGCCGAAAGTGAGGAGGAGCTGAGGAGCCTTCTAATCAAGGTGGAAGAAGAAAGCGCAAAAGCTGGGTTGCAGCTAAACATCAAAAAAACCAAGATTATGGCAACAAGAATGACTGACAACTGGAAAATAGAGGGAGAAAATGTGGAGGCCCTGACAGACTTCGTATTTCTAGGTGCAAAGATTACTGCCGATGCAGACTGTGGCCAGGAAATCAGAAGACGCTTACTTCTTGGGAGGAGAGCAATGTCCAATCTCGATAAAATAGTAAAGAGTAGAGACATCACACTGGCAACAAAGATCCGCATAGTCAAAGCAATAGTATTCCCTGTAGTAACCTATGGATGTGAGAGCGAAGGAAGATCGATGCTTTTGAGCAGTGGTATTGGAGGAAAATTCTGAGAGTGCCTTGGACTGCAAGAAGATCCAACCAGTCCATCCTCCAGGAAATAAAGCCTGACTGCTCATTGGAGGGAAAGATACTAGAGACAAAGTTGAAGTACTTTGGCCACATCATGAGGAGACAGCAAAGCCTAGAGAAGACAATTATGCTGGGGAAAGTAGAAGGTAAAAGGAAGAGGGGTCGACCAAGGGCAAGATGGATGGATGGGATCCTTGAAGTGACTGTATTGACCTTGAAGGAGCTGGGGGTGGTGACGGCCGACAGGGAGCTCTGGCGTGGGCTGGTCCATGAGGTCACGAAGAGTCGGAGACGACTGAACGAATGAACAGCAACAAGGTTGGCAGAAGCTGGAGCTAACAGCAGTAGCTCACCCCATCCACAGATTCGAACCACCAACTTTCCAATCAATAAATTCTGCATTTTAGTGGTTTAACCCGCTACTCCACCACTACTTCTACATTGCCATATAAAATCCAGATTATCTGCTTTGAATTTGGACTATATGACAGTGTAGACCAGAGGTCCTCAAACTTTTTAAACAGAGGGCCAGGTCACAGTCCCTCAAACTGTTGGAGGGCCGGATAAACAACCTTGACACGAGTATAAGCCGAAGGGAGCTTTTTCAGCCTAAAAAAGGCGCTGAAAAACTAGGTTTATACTCGAGTATATACAGTAATGATTTTTGGATTCTTATTAAATAATATGCTGCCATTTGTAAATCATCCCTCCGCCTCTCATGCTACCCTCCAAGAGAACAAGACTGCCCTACGCCTTGTAACAAAAATCCACAACATTCTTCCTCGCCGCACCGGAGCTTTTTTAGCCACAAGCTATGAAATATTGGCTTGTTCCGAGCCTTCTCTCTAACAGTCCAGATCCTTCCGTGTGTGTCGTAGGCGGCAGCTCTGATATTCTTAGTCACCGCTTCTGTGGTGATTCACGCAGTCACTCCATGTTAATGTGACACTCCGTCCTTTTGCAGAGGATAGATTTGTTCTGACATTTGCAGGCGTGGGATTGTTGTCAGCCACCAATGCCATTCCAAAGTCTCCTGCATTTTGCCTTAATGGGTTTCCTCTTTTTATGTTTTTTCCCAGAAGCAGTGTGTCCAGGTCACTGGTATTTAGGTAGGTTGTTGTAGTTTTTTTGGGCTATATGGCCATGTTCTAGAGGCATTCTCTCCTGATGTTTCACCTGCATCTATGGCAAGCATCCTCAGAGGTAGTGAGGATGCTTGCCATAGATGTAGGTGAAACGTCAGGAGAGAATGCCTCTAGAACAGGGGTCTGCAAACTTTTTAAACGGAGGGCCAAGTCACAGTCCCTCAAACTGTTGGAGGGCCGGATTATAATTTGGAAAAAAAACCCGAATGAATTCCTATGCACACTGCAGATATCTTATTTGTAGTTCAAAAAACACTTAAAAACAATACAATAATTAAAACGAAGAACAATTTTAACAAATATAAACATATTAGTATTTCATTGGGAAGTGTGGGCCTGCTTTTGGCTGATGAGATAGGATTGTTGTTGTTGCATGCTTTCAAGTCGTTTCAGACTTAGGTTGCTCTGAGCGAGGGCCAGGTAAATGACCTTGGAGGGCTGTATCCGGCCCCCGGGCCATAGTTTGAGGACCCCTGCTCTAGACCATGGCCATATAGCCCAAAAAAACC